TTTTTTTTATTTTTTAGGTAAAAATGTTTATGGTACAGATAAATTTTTAATTTGAAAATTATTTACGTACCTTTAGTTTACTTATACACAAACATTTTAAATTTAATCAAATGTACATCTTTTAATTTGTTTTTTCTTCGTGTCTGTCTGTATCACAATATCGGTCGATGTTGTCGTAATAGTTGAAAATAAGGGTTTAACCAAAATCTAGCATAAACAAATCATTACATTTCCATTTTCACTTTGTGTTTAATTTTCATAAAACTTTTATTTATATGTATATTTTTTAACAATTTAATTTTTTCTTTTAATGTTATCAATTGCCTTACTTTTAAAATATTACGTATATCATTCATTTCTCATATCAGACGTGCAATACACGTGCTTACTATTAATTTTATAAAGAGGGTTGAAGAAATTGAAGAACACATCTATTCAGATATCCTATACATATAGTTACAAATATATTTTATATTTGCATTCTGGACATAAGGAGAAGGGTCGTTCAATCTATCCATATAAGTGTTCCTATAGAAAGAGAACCAAATATAAGTTTTAAGGATTTAATACTAGCGTCATACAGTGCCAATAATGACCCCACAAATGGAAGGCCGTACGATTTTAAAATAATAACTTCAATGTGATTCTCCAAAAGGTTGGCTTTTCTCTGACTCTTACTTTCCCATTTTATTTATTTACACTACCCAGGATGTTATTGAAATTCTGAAATTTATGCACAAATCATATAATTTCTCAACAAGCTAAAATCATGTGCCTTATTTGTACGTAGATATAAGTGTATAACCTTCAAGAGGCAAAGTCGTTTACATGTTTTGATTCGAAGGGAAGAAAATGTGAATTAAATATGTTTCGTAACTGTACATGCCTGTTTGTTATGTTAGTATACTTCTATCATAATATTTTAGTTGTTCAAATTATATTCTTAATTCTAAGAATAAATCATATGTTTTGTGATAAGTGTATTTTACATGCTTATCTATGTTTTTAAACTTGATAAGTATATGCAGATTGAGAGTCCACCTAATTTAGTGTAAATATTGTTATTGTAGGTCAAACCAGGTCTTGGAGCGATTTGGAAGAAAAACA